AAAGCATAATTTGTAGATTCGTATAATTTGTAGTAAGTTAATTCGAATTGATGTAAATAAATTATAAAAGGATATACAGTATATTGTTTTTAAATAGGCCTTTAATATGGCAAATAATTTATTTTTGATTAAGTTAAACAGTAAATATAATTTTAAAAAATGTAAAATATGATTATTATGTATTTTTTCAGGTATTAATGAGACGAGGGGAATTTGGAAGAGATAAAGAAATAACGTTCAATCAAAATTGGAACAGTTACAAACACGGCTTTGGAGACTTCGATGGAGAATTTTGGCTGGGAAATGATAATATTCATTTACTTTCGAATGATGTGAGGAATGATTTGCTGATTGAATTGAATTCTTTCAACGGAAAATCGAAAAATTTCACTTTCAGATCATTTTATATCGAAAATGAGATTCATGACTATAGACTTCACATTGGACAACCCCTAAATAATTCACCAAAAGTTATGCATGAATTTAATAGTAGACCGTTTGTTAGCTACGACAGGATTATGGATCAACCTGGTAATAACTGTGCTGCATATTATAAGGGAGCTTGGTGGTACAGAAGATTCTGTCGTTATCCTGATTTAACCAGTGAAAGAATTGACCCTAGCGTTGATAGAGTTCCAATAAAAGGAATGCAGTCAGTACTTTGGAGAGAAGGGGGTTTATTGAAATCTGCTGAAATGAAAATTCGTCCAATAAATTTTCTCGTTTAAATTTAAACCGAAGCTTCCAAAGACTTTAAAACAAATTTTTAAAATCTTGTGAATTCTTATATTTTATTTCTTTTGAAAAAAACAGTATTTGTCTATAGTTGAATATATCTTTTTATTTATATAAAAAATAATCAAATTTATTACAAATTTGATTTAAATAGAATCTCGTTTTGGTTGAATTGTAATGGAATTTCTCAGTGTAAGAGATTTTTGTAATTCTATATAAAATATATAAATTTGTAATTTTTTTAAAATAAAATATAAATAATATAAAAATGTTATAATTAAATATACTGTATTTACAATGTTAAGCTGATTGATTTTTTTAAAGTATTGTATGATTTTTAAAATTGTTTTGGATAAAGAAAAAAATATGACATTTTAAAATATACACAATATAACGAATCTCATTATATAACCTGTGTATTGACTTATAGCTTTCCCCCCATTAAAAACAAGTAGAAACGTATTTTTAAAGAAATTAATTAATGCTGTTGTTGCTGTTTACTATTAGGCCTAAATAAACAATTCATAGCTAATAATTATTTATTTATTATTAATTAAATACATAAAATAATTATTCAGTAATCAGTAATTGGTTCATAATTAATAATGTAGTATTGAATTACTACTTCCACACTGAGAAGTCCATTCTGCAGTTTACATAGACACTGTCCTGCGATAATTTCGTATTGATAGCGATGCTGATACTATCGATAATTTAAAGAAGCATGCGATACTGAATATTTTGAGTAGTATCGTAAACTGCTCTAGTCCAATTATCCTAATTTTTTATTTTGACGATTATTAATTTTGGTTTTGACGGTATTTAGGCGAATTTAGAATATTTTTGTGACTTTTTGCCGTGCTTTTTGAAAATAAAATGCGAAGCAATTATATAAAATTTGTTTTATTTCGTTCATGTAATGATGCTAAATAGAAGTCCAATTTTAATTAAACTGTTGCGATTTTAATTAAAACTGAAATCGCCAGTTTAATTGATGGTAAAAATTCACCATCTAACGGTATAACTGGTGAAGTAGGTATAATCTGGAAATAGTCTGTATAACCTGATATCGATATCTGATCAGGTGCATCTATACTTTACTCTTGTTCCGAAAGATATCTGTGATTTGTACTTGATTGCCTCTTGTTCTCGTTTTAATTGTTAGAAGCAAGCATAAGATTACTTTAGAACGAATCACACAGGAACACATAACAAAGATAGATGTGTACAGTACTGTGCATTACAGGCTTTATTAATTCTGGAGGATATGCGTTCGGACTAAGTAAATACATGTCCCTCATCGGATCTCTTTATTTACATTAATCTGGTTATAAAAACATAACAGTATTTAAGTTATAGTTACAAATATACATAAAATTATAACGAACACAATATTAACTGGATGGCAGAAGTTACATTTGTCATAACACACGTGCCATAAATTTTGTAATGTTTTTATAACCAGATTGATGTAAAATAAAGAGGACCGATGACAGACATATAGTCTGAAATGCATATCCTCTAGAATTAATAAAGCGTGTAACATATTTATCTTCGTTGTGTGTTCCTGTGAGATTCGTTTTCTCAGCAATCTTATGCTTACTTCTAACAATACCTGTGATTGATACTGTTAGCTTCTTAGGCAATGATACATACACATTTTACGTTCACTTAATAAAAACCTTATATTGTCACAACAAGAACGAAAGTACTACAGTCTACACTGTTTAAGGCTCTAAGCCAGGGGTGGCCAAAACGTGGCGCATTGGACGATTACAAGTGGCGCTTCAGTTAGTTCTGAGCAAAATTGCCAGATTTGGCTTTTTCCGATTAAGAATATTATATAGAAAAATAAATTTTTTATAGTCTGTCTTGGCAAGTTCATTTGTTGCACAATTCGTTACGGTATATTTTGCAGATAAAATGAGTATTCTCCACATAGTAAATTACAATGTATTCATGTATTTTGAGTCTTGCCATCTTTATTTCCGATCAGTTTACAGGCGTGTAAATGGCCGAAAACATTTATTGTGATTAAAGTTATTCCAAGCTGATCTCGTTCTCAGTGCCAATAATTGTGGTGCAGAGTAATCTTTACCAAACGAGACTCTGGCAGCAATAGCACCATCATGAAGCAATCACCCTCTCGTACAGGAGATCATTGTTGACTATTGTAAATTGGTGCTTCAATAAACTGTCATAAATTAATTAATTCAACTGCGTGATTAAGTTATTCCCTTTTCTTTCCTAAGCGAAGCAGATTTATTCTTAT